CCCCGAGTAGCCGGGGTCCTCCGCCCCAGGCTCTGCTCTTAGCTGCTGTGCTCTGCGCAGGACAGTTGCCTGCTTTTCTTCTCCAGCGACTCCTAATGTCACCTTTCTGCTCCATTGCCACTCCTCGATCCAAACAGAAATAACATTCAGGTAAACCTGACCTAAAAAACTCTGGTTATTTGTATTTGCTGGTGCATTATATCCTTGCCTGGAGTGGTGTACGTTCAGTTTTACTCTGATTTTTCAGGTGTCCTTGCATAAACCACTTCTTTCCCCTTGGTTTTTTCTTTAAAATGAGGAAAGTTCAGCCAGCCATTCGGCAGGTAACTTTCAAGGTGAATTATTAACCCTCATCCTATTTTCTAATATCCAACGTGCTCTCAGCCTAGCCTCCGATAGCTCGATAACTATGTTCAGATAATTCAAGGCAGTTTAGACACTGGCTTGATACTGCAAAATCAGAAAGACAAACTTTCTACAGAAAGTTATGTTAGGCCAAGTTTGTATCTTGTGGCACAGCTGCCTTCCATTAGCAAGTTTCATCGAGGGTTAATCTGATGCCATCCCTTTTTCACGCTGATTTTTTATTAGGCTCGAAATGTTTACACCACGTCATGCCTATGTGATGACTTCACAGATACAGCAAAATATGTGTGGACTAAGAGGCTACAGTAGAACATTACTGAAAGAAAAGTGTTTAAAACAGAAAAAGGATCGGAGCCAGGAGCTGTTTGATACGTGTGCAAGATTTGTGGGGACTTGAGAGTCAAACATCATCGTTTGTCCAGGCTGCTTTCTGGAAATTCTCAGACTGACGCTCCCGTCCCTGGAGGGAGCCTGTCTCTGTGGCAGTCAAGAAGAGGGGTCATTTCACAGCCTGTGATTTTAATTGATTTGGGGACTCCAGGTTATTGTGGGTGGGGTTGCAGTGATTTCCACAGGAAGGGCTTGGACGGGGCAGGGGCGGGGCTGTGTTCAGCCTCTGCTTCCTGTGGAAGTGCCTACTTCAGTGTGCTTCACTTTGGAATAAAGTTGGAAGGCACAGGGTTTGACCTGAATGTCCCCAAAATGAGACAGTGCTATAGATTAATCCCACTCAATTTATGTTAAACATGCCTTTCCCCCCTTGTTAAAGTTCAAAGAGACAGATCAGAATTCTTCCACGTATTTCTTTGTGTGTGTACGGTTGTGTCTGTCTATAACGTGTGTACGGGCTGGCAGAGGAAGTTGTTGATTTCATGGTGACAAAGTAATTCTGCAAACGCACCAATGATGCGTAGTTATGACAGGGAAGTCTTCACCCAAGAACCTGTGTGTTTTTGAAAAGAGAAGTTATATTTAATTAAACTACGTAATGGAGTATTTCTGTGTGGGATTGTTCAAAGGTCTGATGGCCGAACAGTTTACCAAGATCATCTCTTTAAGGAGAGGGAGGAAAAGTTTGTCATTAGTTCCCCCGTTTTAGTGTCACTTCAGGAAAGCCGATCTGAAGCAGACACGTGGGCACTGGTAAAGACTCAGCCACGGCGTGTGCTCACTAGGCTATCTTGTGAGGGAGCAGGGGACCCCACCCAGCTCAGCCGGAGCTGGAGAGGCCAGAGAGATGTCACAGAGCTTGCCGGGAGGGCTGTGCGCAGCCAGAGCCGGGCCTCCGGATGTGCCCGGACCCGCCTAAGTGGGCTGTTGCTCACCGACACAAGGTGCTCCTCTCTTCCAGCAGTGACAAAAACAGCTGCTCCCTTACTCTCCGGATTAGGACTCTGGCTGCAAGTAACAGAGATCAATCCAAGCTACGTGAGACAGTAACAAGGGGGTGGCTTACTTGAGGACATGACACAGAACCCTCAGGGCAGGAGTGGACAGTGCAGGCCAGTCCCTCAGAGAGGAGCCAGAAACGGCAGCACCTGTCAGCAGCCTTGGCTCAGTGGCTTCTCTGCTTCGCGTGTGCATGTTTGCTTCGGTCTTTCTCTTCCGGGGCCTCCTGAGCTTGCGTATTACCTGTTCTATTCCCGTGCGTGGCAGTTTGGGAACCGGGGGGGTTCTATGCTCCTACGGCATTCGAATGGAGAGGGTGCAGGGAAGTCAAGGTGTGTGGCCTTTGTTAACATCAGAGGAAGTCTTGACGAGAAAACGAGGCTTCGTGTGCCAACCATAGACTGCCTCTGCGGCAGCTCTGAGGGAAATCCACCTTCTGCAGACTCCCTGGCAAGTCAGGGTCTTGTCAGGGTGCAGACTGCGGGGAAGCATCGCGTCTGAGCCCCTCCCGCAGACCCCCTGCCCCCGCCACTGGCCAAGTCCCTGCTCCAGGGGGAAATGGCTGCACCTAAGAGGACCTGGGCTTCACGGCGGGGGGCCGGGGGGGTGCGTCTAAGGGTGGGGCAGGGCACCCCGCTGTGGGGGACTCCCCTGTATCCCTGCGTATAATGTCCTTGCAAGGACACTGGCCGCTTGTGGGCAACCTGCGGCCAGTGGGGGATGAGTGCCAGGCTGCCCGGAGCCAGAAGCACAGAGGCTCATGGAGGCGTGGAGGGGGTGTTGAGAGGGTTTATCACATGAGGGCAGATGCTGCTGCCCCCACTGAGGTGCTGAGAAAAGGGCTCTGGCGCCACTGAGTAGCTCGGCAGTGCCTGCTGCCCACAGGCCAGGGCTGCTGTTGTAAGTGAGGCCCACTGGCGGCGGTGATGTTGTGGGTGGGTTTGGGCCCCAGGCTGATGGCATTCAGGACTGGCAGGGGCAGGTGGGTGGAATCGCTGTGATGGGCATCAAGACCCAGAAGACAGCCTTCACCCATAGGGAGCTGCCGCGGTGGCCAATGATAGAGATGGAATCATAGGGTCTAGTGGGTGGCAACTGATCAGGGTGTTGCTCAAGCCACAAAATGAGAAGGAAAGAGACAGCGTCAGTGATACTAAGAGCCACAGGCTCACGTCTCCAGGTCTTCTGGCCACGTCCCCCGCGCAGAGGGTTCCTTGGATCAGTCGATCTCTCCTCGTCTGGAGTGTACAACTGGAAAGAAGCATCTGGAACAAAAGCAGGGTAGGAAGGACCAAGTGGAAGCCCCTGAATCTGCATTCCCTCTTTGCCAGGATAGGCAACAGGAAGCAGCGCTGACTTCCTGGAGGATGTGCGATGATTAAGCCTCCACAAAGGACTTGGGGGGAGCAAAGACCATGTCCCTGATGTCCTGGAAAGACGTTTCCCAGTGTCCATCGTGGTCCTCACACTGTTCCTGCTTAATTCAGGTGTCTGGCCCCTAGGAAGACCGGGTAGATTTGGGCAGTGATAGGCCCCTAAGCTTCACCAGGAGGAGAGACAGTCGAGCTGCCATGTGGCACCTTCGCAACCTCTTGACACCCGGCCCTCTGCCCCGCTCTCCACCTGCATGATGGGTTTTCTTGTCCCCACAGTTTGCCCTTGGGTTGGAGCCGTGCCCTGCCCGGCATGAAAAGCACAGGGATGTGCCTGGGCCCTGGCAGGATTCCTGGGACCGACATCACATGGGCATCGTCAGAGCCTCTGATTCCCAGGCTGGGCAGGTGTGGCAAAAACCCATCGTGGCCAGAAATGGCACTTTCAGGGTTGGGGCCCAGCAGGTCCACGGGAACAAGTGAACGACAGGCACCACGATGGCACAGGAGGCACAGGTCCTGTTTGGCTGCTTCACATGCTTCAGAGTTGCTCTGACTGTGCCTCCCGCCCCCACCATCCTCTTTGGCATTCGTTCTTCAGGGGCACCAGGAGCGGGAGCCGTCAGGAACATTCGCTACCAGCAGATGCCTGCATGCCTACCTCCTGCTTCAGTCACCACAGCACCCCTGGGCCCATCTCCGCCACAGCTGCCCATGTACATGCTGGGTCCTATCCTGCCAGCCACAGACACAAACAGTTTCAATTAATTCACTCCTTAGAGTTAGAATGAAATCACTGCAAAATTTTGCTCTGTGACTACCCTCTTTTCGAGACCTTCTTAAAATAACAAACTCCATGTGCCTGAAATAGGGTTCAGAGACTTTGCCAGCAGGATGGACCTGTGGAGATGGCCGAGGGTGAGCAGAGCAGTGAGGGTGGTGGCTCAGAAAGCAGATCTGAGGGGCAAGGGGAGTTAGACATCACCTCTTCCCTCCTGCCCCCTGGTTGGATGTCCTCCTTTCCTGAAAGACCCGGGAGGAACCTTATTGCCTTCCTCAGTAAGCAGAATCCTGAGACAGCTGTCACTCGGGAGCCCCACATCTTAGGCAGCCCCACTTGGTTGTGGAGAGAAAGGCATGGGACATACCCGGACAGGGACTCACCCGGGGGGAGGAGGGACCTGCTGTTGGACACAAGACAGAGCCTGCTCACACAGTCATTCAAACCCCCATTGAGAACTTGGTGGTTATGGTGTGAGGAGGCGTGGCCCCATCAAGCCCTAGCCTCTGTCTTGAGAAAACGTTTCATTTTCATATTCTTAGATACTTAAAAAAATACAAATTGCGTTGAAATTAAAGCCACGTCCGAATAAGTCACACTGCTGTTTTATTAGTATGTAATCATCCTAACACTCAGCCCTTCGTATGAGTCAGATCTTAACAGAAACCTAGCCCCGACATTGTAATTAAGCATTTATGCATCAGGACTCAATCACTCAAACCACCCAGACGTGGTACAGACAACCTGTTCTGTGACAGGTTCTGGTGTCTTCCTGGCCCTGGCCTGATGTCTGGGCTCCCTCTCCTTGCTCCCATCCTGCCCAGCACTGCTCTGCTGTTCACCACTACCACGGTGGCGGACAGCTCGTGGGTCCCCGTGGAGCTCTGACACCAAAGTGGCCTTGAGTCACCTTTCCTGGAGCCAGAGTTTCCACTCCTCTAGTGCTTAATGGATGTCACACACGAGTTTCACTAAGAGATGCTTCAAATGGTGGTGGCCGGGGGAGTGGATGCCCAAGCCTGCTGACTCAGGATGCCCGGGGTGTCGTGCAGCTGAACTACAAGGCCCCCTTTGGCCTGCTCAAGGGCCTACTACATTTGTTCCAACGCTCTAGAAAAGTTTTCTAGAGCAGTTTTGAAAGCTTGCAGCAAGAAAGCTCCAAGTTCATTGCTTGTTTCTTGGATATCTGGGTCAAAACTTCCAAAGAGGGGCGTGCAGACTTGGATGTCCCCCCGGCCAGCCCTAAGCAGCACAGCCCGGAGGTCCTCAGCAATCACATTGTATTTCTGCTGGTCAAATTTGGACATGGCCAGCTCATCCTGGGGGTAGGCGGTGCCCTCAGGGTAGCAGTCCTTGGGCACTGGGAACTCTACGCACCGAAGCTTCGGCAGCTCACAGAGAGCTGTGAAGAGGCGCCTCAGGGCCCGGGCCGACAGTGGGTTCCCCAGGAAGCGAAGCTCACAGAGCTCGTGGCAAGGGCTCAGGGCCAGTATCAGCATGCTCATGTGGCTGTCTTCGATGCTGCACTCCTCCAGGGTGAGAATCCTCAGTGTCTGGGCAGCCCGGCCCAGCAGCCTGAAGAAGGTTGAGGGGAACAGGCTGAACAGGCTGTGCCCACTGAGGTCCAGCACCTCCAGACACATGCTGTGGGCACAGTCTGCCAAGAAGGCCATGTCCGCGTGGTTCAGGGAGCAGTTGGCCAGGTCCAGGACCCTCAGCGGTGTCCTCAGGGGGCTAGGGGCGGGGCGGAAAAGAGCACAGGTGAAAGGAGATCCCCGCAAGGAGCTCTGGGAGGAATAAAGGTGAATTCTATCTCATGGGTCAGTGGACCATGGCCCAAAGGCTGAATCCACTCCTGCCTTGTTTTATTCAGCCTAAGACTAAAATGGTTTTTATATCTGTAAACATTGGAACAAATCAAAAGAAGAAAGATACTCTGTGACATGTGAAAATAATATGAAATTCAGTTTTCAGTGTCCATAAATAAAGTGTTGTTAGAACTAGGGTAATTCATTTGCCTCCTGTCTGTGGACAGTTTGGGGCTGTGATGGCAGAGCTGAGTCTTGAACCAGTGGTGTGACCAAGTGTAGAGAAGAATTAACTTAGCCCAAGACAGGTCTGGCCTTTGTCATCAGTTCCTAAAATGTTAAATCTGTTTTGTCAACCCCTCACTGTGTCTGCTCATGTACTTGCCGTGGGGCAGTGAGGTGCACGTGAGCTGGCACAAAACAGCTAGCTTCACTATGAACAAAGAGAGGAAGCCCTCACAACTTCAGGGCGGGGAAGAGCCATGGAGCCATCTAGTCCAGCCCTAGCCTTGCTGGGACCTAAAGACCCTCCCGTGTTCTAATGTAAGTGGGGTAGGTGGCCCGGCATCAGCAAATGCACAGCCGGGGTAAACCCTGCTCCGGTGGGCAGTTCTCAAAGTCAGGAAGGGCCCTTGCGCCCCGGGACTTGTGAAGAATGCACATCCTCAGCCCACCCTGCCCGGGTGATGCTGGGCCCGGGTCTGGTGCCATCAGGCTGAGCACTCAGTGCAGGAGAGTATATGGGGTCCTGTTCTCTGCCACCCCTCCTGCCCCCTGCCCCTGCACCTGTACTTCCTGGGTGCTGAGAGCCCACCATGCTTGTCCTTTCCCCGGCCCCTCCATCCAGGTCTATCGTGTGGGCCAAAGAAGCCCGAGAAGCCCTTGTGAATACGAACGCGACCACATCTTCTTCCTGCTCAGAACCTCCAAGGACTTTCTCTCTTCCTTTCCTCCCCTCCCCTGCTCCCCTCTCTCACACTGCCCTGCCTACCAACCCCAACCTTCTCCCTGCTGATGCCTGATCCCTCCATATTACCAGCTTGGGCCCTTTGCGCCTCTGTCCAGGCCACTGCACAGTCTGCCTATTCAATGCTCTGGGTCTCTGCTCAAAGTCATTCCAGGGAGTGAGCCTTCCCCGACTACCACCACCACCAACGACCCCACCCCCCCGCCCCCAGTCTCACACTTGTTTAGCCTGACACACGTCATGCTGGGACCTCCCTGGGGCCTCACCAGGCTGTTGACAATCAGCCAGATTGAAACACACGTGGGAGCACGTACTCTACCAGTGGAGGGTCAGAGTGTGGTGGGAGACGGGAAAGCCTGTCAGGGGCTGAGCTAGCAAGATGGCCCTGCTGGGCCGGTGATGGGTCATCTGGCTTGTGGAACCAATGTCCCCCAGTAGCAAAGGCACATCCAGGCTGAGGACCTAGGCCAGAAATGCAGGACTGTCCTGAGGGTCTCAAAGAGCCAGCCACCACATATATGCCGGAGTTTATTCATACATGAGCTCAGAACCATCCTTTCTTATGTCAGGAGACTGGGGACAGGAGGAAAGGAGGAAGGGAGCCCTCATTTTTCTCTCTCTAGGAGACCTGGGACAGAAGACCAGGGATGGGGGGGTCTGGGGTAGGCAGGGTGAAGGAGGAGGGTTAGGAAAGAGAAGGAAAGGTGAGGGCAGCCCTTGGCCAGCAGCTTCTGGGGTTCCTTTGTATAGAAGAGAAACATCTGTAAGCCAAGGACTCCCTAAACTAGAAGCCACATCTTCACCCCCACTGGCTCAAGAAAGAAGTTTAATTTTCTATGTTCATGGCCAGTCACCAACCAGGTGGAACCCTGACCTTCCTGGTGCTCCCGCCCTTGTGTGGTGTCCTCCCCTCACGTGGATGGACCCGCCGACTAGCTCCAAACCAACAAGGTATGCAGAAGTGTGGACACATCGGTCTCAAGAGCTTCTAGCTGGGTGATCTCTGGTTCTCAGATCAGCCTCTCTGTCGTGAGGACTCCCAGCAGCCGAGGTGCAGAGGCCACCTGCCAACAGCCTCACACTGAACTTGGAAGTGGATGGCCTAACCCTCCCGGCCCACCAAGCCTTCAGAGGAGACCACAGGAGTAGACCCAAGTTGTGCTGGGCTCTGATGGAGCTTGTGGCCCACCATAGGCCAGTGTGGGGGTAATTTGTTATGAGACAGATAATTAATACAATATAACATAGTCACTTGTATGTTGTTCGTTTTGCTAATTTCTTCTGCCCACTAACCAAAACCAGTCCTCCTTGAGTTCCCTGTGTTGCCAGGCTACATGCAACCTAACCCCCCTGGGTCACACGCCTCTGTCTGTGCCCTCCTGCCGCTCTGGGCCCTCACAGAGTAAAGATGGAGGGAGCCGGGAAACTTGTGCCCTTGTAAACTGCCAGGTCCCATCTGCAGGTCTCTTGTGCATCTTCCGCCTGGCCGCTGAGAGGGCCCCGTGTCACCCAGACCCACGCTGAGTAGCTGTGAACAGAGATACTGCTAACCCGGCCTGCCCTCCGTCCCGTCACCCCAGACTCACCCAAGCAGTTTCCGAATCTTCCCTGTCAGGGTGGAGAAGGCCACGCTCAGCTCTGTGAGCTGGGTCATCTGGCTGAGCTCCCAGGCGATGGAGGTGAGGAGGGGGTCCTCGCCGTCGGGGGTTGGGGTGCTGGTGGGGGGCGCGTCGAAGGCCTTGGCAGGCAGGGTGAGCGAGGCCAGCTGGGGGAAGCCCACCTGGGCCAGCAGCTGCTGCACGTGTCCCGCATGCAGCCGCACGTTGTGCACCACCTCGAGCCTGCGCAGCTCACCCGGCCCGGCCAGACGCAGCACGTGCAGCAGCTGGCTGGGGCCCAGGCTGTCAGCGCGGAAAGAAAGGCAGTGCACACGCAGTGGGGCAGGGCCTGATGGCCCCAGGGCCTGCACCACCACCTTGAAGTTGCCCTCTGTGACAAAGAGGTCAGCAAGGACCTGGATGGGGCGCTGGGCCACCAGGGGCTCTGCCTGCAGCCGGCAGCAGGTCCTGGCCAGCAGCTCCGTGCGGCCCCACCTGCCCAGCGCCCTGCCACAGGGGCACTGCTGCACCTGCACGTCTCGGATGCCTGTGAGGTCTGCCACCCGCAGCCGCCTCGGGCCCCCGGCCCGGAGCACGTGGTCCGCGAGGCCCTGCACACAGGCCTCCAGGCAGGCCCGGCAGGCGCGGTCCCGCAAGTCCTCCGGGGGTTCCGAGCGCGGCCCGAGCAGCGCACTCAGCCAGAACTCCTCCAGCGGCCAGCGCTCCAGCAGGGTGCGGATCACCTCTGCCTGCTCCAGCAAGTAGCTGGCTTTGAACAGGAGTGGGTAGAGATTGTGGGCCACACCATCCAGGCTCTGCTTGGCCACCTGGGGGTGAGACACCAGGGCCTCAGCAGAAATGAAGCGTAGCGACCTCATTGTGCCTGCCTGTGGCAGCCCGAAGGCAGGACGGTGCTCTCCCGTTGCGATTCTCCCAAAGATGGGTGCCCTTCTCGCTTATTTTTAGCTGCGGCTGCTGTGAGCAGCTCGCCTTTGGGCCAAAGGTGGCGAGCGGGCCCTCTGGTCATCTGACAGCTATTTTGGTCATGGGTGCTTATTTGCCTCTGGCCCTGGAGGCGTCTGCCAGTGGCCAGCCTGTCCTTGGAGCGCTCAGCTGGTGAAAGCAGAGCTGCCCCAGTGCTTGGCTAAGTAGCACCGGGCCCCTGAAGAGTGCCGCCCGTGCCCACCACAGGGGGGCCCGTGCTTGGGAGCTGCGGCGGGCAACGTGGGCCTGGGCGTGGACCAGGGAGACCCCAGACAAAGGTCCCGCTGTGCATGTCCCTGCAGAGTCATGGGAGCCAGGCTCCCTGGGTGACGCATGCTGGTGACGTCCCTGGGCACAACAGAACCAAGTAAGAGCAGCGTGACCGTGTCTTAGAAAAACAGGTCCCATTTATTTATGTTCCTGGAGTTCGGAACAAGTCAGCACTGAAACAAAGTAACAATGGAAACAGCTCAGAGCAGCTGAGAAACGCACAGTCGCAAAGTCCCTCTGGTGTGGACCCTGCCTGTCCACCCGCCCCTGTTCCAGGTGGCTGGTCTGGCGGTGCTGCCGCCTGGAGAATGGGGGTCTCGTGGGGAAGACACCTGCAGCAGGAAGCTCACTGAAGTCTTCTGTCTACCTAGGCTTTCCCTGCTTATTATTATTCTGCTCCATTTGGAGAGGGGTGGTCCTCTTGGGGCGCTCTCTACACCCCAGACCTCAGGCCTAGCTGCTGTGCCCTCACCCCAACCTGGGACCCAGGCCCACAGGTGGTGACCGGCAGCCCCACTGTCTACACATGCCTTGTTAAAAAGGAAAGAGAACCAATATTCCAATTATACTCAGAGGCACCCTCTGTGTCTGGGACACATCTCACTGAGGGCTACTCCAGGGGACTGTCGCCCATGGGCCTGTGTGGCCTGGAACTGCAGGAAACAGGGTTGCAGAGGGCCCACCTTGCTCTGAGACACCCCAAGCCTGCTTGGACCTCCCCAACGGAACCAGGGGTCCGTGTGTTTCCACCCCAACCTTGGCACAGCCCTCGGAGCACGGGGGAATTCAGAGCAGTGCGGGGGTGGAGATCTGGGCTGGCTAGCCCTCTGAGCCTGTGGACTGGGGTTGAGGAGCCCCAGAAGGAGTGGAGGGAGGCCAGGTGATGGCCAGGCAGGCAGGGCCCATGGCATGCTGAGGGTGGGGGTGGCCAGCAGCTGCGGTAGGGGTGCATCAGGAGCTCCCAGCATGAGCACCTCATTCCCAGACCTCAGGCACAGATCTGGGCCGAGGGTCCTCTGCTCCCTCTGACGGGGATTCTCCCTGGGCTGAGTCTCATCCAAATACCTCACAGCTGTGGAAAGAATGAGGGTGGTTACTCATACCCCACAGGCCTCCCCGCAATCCAGCTGCTTGGTGCCCGAGGCGTGGACAGCACAGAGTCCTTGTCTGGGAGGTGCTGCGTGAGGCCTCATACCCTGCAAGGTGCTCTCAGACTCATGGACACACATCCATTTTTAAGAAGCACTTGAGGGGCCCCTGGGTGGGCTTGGTCGGTTAAGCGACTGACTCTTGGTTCCGGCTCAGGGTGTGATCTCATGGTTCGTGAGTTCGAGTCCCACATCAGGCTCTGTGCTGACAGTGTGGAGCCTGCTTGAGATTCTCTCTCCCCTTCTCTCTGCCTCTCCCGATTGTGCTTTCTCTCTCTCAAAAAATAAATAAGTAAACATTAAAAAAAAAAAAAAAAAGCACTTAGGGCCAGCACTGGCGAGGTCAGGGCAAGGCTGGGTACCTTGTGGTGGATTCGTCCCTGGGTCTGGGTCCAGACAGAACCTATAGGGTGACCACCTCGGCTGGCATCACGATGTATTTGGAAGTCAAAACACTCTGACCCTGAAACGTGTCAGTTCTGTGTTTGCTGTTCTGATCCCAGAACGTGTGAGTACACGTGCCTCAGAGCACCAACCCCTGGCAAGGCTCAGGGCACGGGCTATATGAGTGGGTGTTGGGGAGGTACCCAGTTCTCAGAAGGGCAGGGTGCCAGGTTCCCCAGCAGCTACTCCAAAGGGGTGTCCGGGGGTTGGGGCAGGTGGGAGTGGTCCCCATCGGCTTCTGTGGCCAGGCCTCTGGGCCTGGGTCTGCGGGCCCTTTCCTCTTGGAGGAATGCCTGAGCTCTCAGAAATAGCCCCACGCCACCCTCTTTGACATGTGGTTCCCAGGGGTACAGGCAGTGAGGTCCCAGGGAGGTTGGTCCAGGAACAGAGGTAACAGGGGAGCAGCCTTGTTGGCCAGGGTGCTCCTCCCGGGGGGCTGTTAATGTCCAGCCACGTGACTGTGTGTGGGAGCATATGGAACAAGGCGGAGACACCCAGGCTCCCTGGCTGGTGGTGGCGTGTCCAGCATCTTAAGGTGACAGTGGACGAGAGAACCCTCCCATTACTTCAGGGGAAGCCGGGACAGCCCCACACCTAGGGCCTGTTTTGTCTGCCAGTCAAACTACTGTCAGAAGGGGAGGCAATCACCGATGAGAGCCCAGGTCACTGGTCATCACCAGCAATCTAGGGTGCGTGGGCCAAGGGCCTGTCTTCCATACACTCTTGGCTCAGCATACCCTCAGACTTGGGGACGGCTCTCACAGAGTGGGGGAATGGGGGGGATGGGGGTGTCTCCCCAGAACTGGGGGATGGCTCTCACAGAGTGGGG